CTTTTGGTTCTCAGTTTCCGAACTAGGAATATTCACAAGGAAGGAGGGGTTGGTTTTTTTTTTTTTTTTTTTCATCGTTTCAAGACTTTTGGTTCTCAGTTTCCGAACTAGGAATATTCACAAGGAAGGAGGGGTTGGTTCTGCCTCGGTTGAGGGTTATTTTTCCCCCCCTCACTCTCACACAAAAAAATAGATATATTTAGACCTCGTGGCGACGACAACAACGAAAAAATCAAAACAAGCCCTGGAGAATCCCCCCATGCCCACCCCGCCAAACCAAACCACCCCACATGGAGCCCTCCCCCGGGTGGATTTGGGAAGGGGCCACATGGCTGCAGGTTCCCAAATGGATGCAAACATCTGGAGCCAAAAGGGAACAACAACAAAAAAAAAAAATATATATATATACCAGATATGTACCGTACTCAGAGTCCATTGCGAGGGGTATTGGGGGGGAGAAGGTTTTCCCCTTTTTTCAGGAGCGTTTTCCTGCTTAGGAGGAGTTCATGATGGGCCGGGAATACACGCCTTGGTAGTAGGAAGTCTCTCCGGCCAAAGGCGAGGCCTCCAGGGCGCTTTTGTTCGTTACGGGTGCCATGGCCAGGCCCGCGGGCACGGGCGAGGCGTAGCCCGAGTAGTGCATCACCTGCTCGTAGGCCTTCAGGTCCATTTTGTGCGGGTGGTGGTGCTGGTGGTGTGGGTGGTGGTGCTGCTGCTCTGAGGAGGACATCAGATTGTTGATGGAGAATGGGTGGTTGAAGGCGTAGTGGTGCTCAGGCTTGAGGTGGCCTTCGTGGGCCAGCCCGGCGTGTGGCGGGGCCAGCAGGTGCTGGCCTGGAGAGGCCGAAGGCTCGCCGGGACTCAGCCCTTTGAGGTCGGCCAGGGTGCGCTTGTGGTCCTGGCACGGCGAGGAGCTGGTGGGGGACTCGGCACTGGCAGAGCCATCGGAGCCTGCCGAGGAGCTGCCCTCGCCCAGGGGCTGGCTGGGGGCTTGGCCTGAGCCTTTCTTGCTGCCACTGCCGCCAGTGCCATCCTTGGCCGCCAGCTGCTTCTCGCACTTGAAGCGCTTCTGGCGGCGCAGGTAGCAGCCGTTCTCGAACATGTTCCCCGAGTCCGGGTGCAGCGTCCAGAAGGAACCCTTGCCTGGCTTGTCCGGTGAGCGCGGCACCTTGAGGAAGCAGTCGTTGAAAGACAGCGAGTGGCGGATGCTGTTCTGCCAGCGCTGCTGATTCTGGCGGTAGAAGGGGAACAGGTCCATGATCCACTGGTAGATCTCGCTGAGGGTTAGCATCTTGTTGGGGGACTGCTGGATGGCCATGGTGATGAGGGAGATGTAGGAGTAGGGCGGCTTGGCATGAGTGTAGCTGCGCCGGTAGGTCTTGGGGTCGCGTGAGCGGTTCAGGTTGGACTGGCCATAGATGGGGCTCATGGAGTTCATGTTGGAGTAGGGCGCCAGGGCGTTCATGGAGCCCGCCTGGCTGCCCATGGGGCTCATGCTGGGGCTCAGGTGGGCACCCATGCCCGGCACGCCGGCCGAGCCCATGGCCGGCATGGCCCCTGCGCCCGGGGACATGCCTGTCAGCGAGGGGCTCATGCCCGTGTTGGCGTAGGACATGTTCATGGAGGTGGCCGCCGCCGTCATGTTGGCCGTGCTGCTCATGGCCGACATGGTCATGTAGGTGTTCATGCTGTTCATGCCCAGACCCGCGTTCATGTTGCTCACCGAGGAGTAGCCCTGCGGGGACAAGCGACACAGGGCACGGGGATGGCGCGGGGGGGAGCCCCAGCCCAGCCAAGCTCAGCCCAGCCCAGCCCAGCCCGGACGCGCCACAGCCGCGGGGCTCCGCGGAGGGCACGGGAGGAAAGAGTTAAATCCCGGCGCGGGGCGGTGGTGGGGCAGGCGGGGGGGGGGTTGTTTTTCTTCTTAATGAAACCCAAATATATTTTGGTATTTATATTAGAAAAATCGCGGTGGCAGCAGGAGCGGCGGAGCCGTCCCGCGAAGCGGAGTTGCAGGAAGGGAAAGGGAAAGGGACATCTCTGACCGGAGAGAGAAAAATACCTAGGGGGGTGGAAAGAAAAACAGAGAAGAGTCGCCTGCATCCCCACCCGCACCTCGGGATCCCCGCCCGCAGCAGGGAGCCGGTGCCAAAGTTAATCGCGTCCGGGGGCCGGGACACCGAGGGGTTTTGGGGGGTTCCGGCTCCGTCCATACCTCGGGCTCCCCGTAGTAGTTGCTCCAGTCCGTGTGCTCATGGCCTTCCATTTTCACCGCTCCCAGCATACTGGAAGTGGAGTGCAAAAAAAAAAAAAAAAAAAAAAAAAAAAAAAAAAAAAAAAAAAAAAAAAAAAAAAAAAAAAAAAAAAAAAAAAAAAAAAAAAAAAAAAANAAAAAAAAAAAAAAAAAAAAAAAAAAAAAAAAAAAAAAAAAAAAAAAAAAAAAAAAAAAAAAAAGGCAGCAAAAAAAAAAAGGCAAAAAAAATTACTCCCCAACCCTCCCTCCCCTCCGCCGGAGCCTCTGGAGGAGGAGGAAGAGGAGGGAGGGAGGAAGGGGGGGATGTAGCGGCGCTGGGGCTGGGGTGGGTTTGTTCCGCCGCCGCTCCTTGGGTGGGTTTTCGCAGCGCTCCGCGGCGAAGAGGCGCCCGGAGGCGATGGAGGAGCCGGAGGAGGAGGAGGAGGAGGGAGGAGGGAGGAAGAAGAGGAGGAGGAGGAAGAGGAGGACAAGTGCTGCAGTGACGTGGGTGCCCCAGTGATATAGCACGGAGCGGCCGGGCGAGCCTCCAATCCCCAGGTCCTCGGCTGCCCATTTGAATAATCAGCTCACACCTAGGCGGGAGCGGCTCCTCCGCGGCCCCGCGCACCTCTGCGCGCCTCTGCCACCGCCTCGCGCCGGGGGACACCACTGCCACCCCTTCCCGCTCCCAGGGGCACCGTTCCCAGCCCGCTGCCCGGACAGCCCCGACGGCATTGCTGCTGGGAGCAGTCCCGCTGCGGCGGCCGGGCATCCCCCTCGGGTCCCTGCTCCCCTCCCCGCGCACCTTCGCTCCCCGCGGCCAACGGGCCCCGCGGCTCTGTCTCCCCGGCAGGTCGGGACACGGCTCTTCCCGGCAGGAAAATCGGGACTAAACGGAGCAGGGAGAGCAGGGAAAGGGGCGGGCAGCGCCGGCGGGGCCGCGGGGCCGGCCCTGTGCGGGTCCCGGTGCGCTCCGTCGGGGCAGCGCCGCTGCCGGAGCGCCTGGGAGCGGGGGAGAGCAGGAAAGGAGGAAAAGAGGGAAAGAGGAAGGAAGGACAGACGGGTGACCAAAACCACCCTCCCGCGGGTCTAAATCCCCCCCTACCCCCCATCGCGGTCCTGACGGCGCGGGGGAGACCCAAGACGACAGGGAGGCATGGGAGGGCTTCTCCCCATTCCCACCACCCCTTCCCAGTGCCCGCCTGGCTCCACCGGGAACATCCCCGCAGCTCCTGGGGAGTGTTCCATGAATTCCCACCTAGATCTGCCCACCGTCATAAAAAAAAAAAAAAACAAACAAAAAACACCAAAAACCAAAAAAAACACCACCAAAACCCCAAACCAACCGCAAGCCTGATTTATTTGTTTTTTTATTATTTATTTATCTATTTATTTAATTGTTTATTCATCTATTTATTTATTTATTTATTTATTGAGCTTGCGCTCCCCAGAGGGGCTCCCCTGCCCCACGTCGCCGAAAGTTTTTAACCCCCCCCCAGCAAACCCCTTCAGGATTTTTTCCCTGTGTTCCCAAATCCCTCTGGATCCATGGCCAAAGGAAAACACCCCTGCTTCCTTGTTTCCATCGCAATAGCCGCGGCGATAGTCGCAGCCCACCTCCCTCCCATCACCCTCCACCCCTTCCAGGCATTTTCTGCCGGGATTTGGGCGATTTGGGGGAACGGCTCCGCGGGAGATGCCCCGCCGAGAGGAAGGACACCCCGAGCGCGGTGGCGGGGCGCCCTCTGTCGCCTGCTGTGGGTGCGGGGGGGGACGGAGAACGACACCCCGAGGTGGGGGGACACCCAGGGACACCCTGTGGGGTCAGTCCCGGGGTCACCCCCTCGCACCCCCTGCCCGCACCCCGAGACCACCCGTCCCGGCTGGGAGGGGAGGTGCTGGTCCACCCCAAGTGCTGAATCTCCACTTCCTGCGTTTCCAAGGAGGTTTCTGCTCATCCAAAGGCTCAGGAAGGGGGAAATCTGGGAGGATGGGATGAAATGTGGGATGTGGCTGCTGGGCATGCTCAAGGATCCTGCTCTCTGCTCCTGGCTAGATCCAGAATGAGACCCCACTGGTTTTCCACCCCCTTTTCCCTCAGACCTCGAGGTTTGTTCTGATGGATTCCAGAAAGGCTGGGATGAGCCTTTCCCCGGGCAATTCCCACACTCAGGCCTGGGCCCTGCAGATGTTGGGGCAGATGTTGGCACAGATGTGAGCATGTCTGGCACCTCCATGTGAGGGGTGGCCAGAGGTGATACCATCCCAAGCTCAGCAGCTCCTGCCTTTCCCAATTTCCTGCTCTTTCCCCTTTACCAGGTGCCGCTTCCCTGCTTTGGCTCCATAGGACTTGGAATTTTGTCCCCATCAAAGGTGAGGATTTTCATCCAGGTGTGGACTGGGACCTGCCCCAATTCCTTGGATTTTTGATCCTTCAGGACATTCCCACCGTCCCAGACACTTAAATCCCATTTTTCCCTTTGTCTGTCCCACAATTCTCCCATCCTGCTCCATCCATGGAGCACATCCTGCCAGGAATGGTGATGCTCATTCCATTCCACGTGCCCACAGGAACAACCACAGCCACCACATCCCACTCCTGCTCCTCAGACAAAGCTGTTGTCTCAGGAACACGAGGACATGGAGCAATTCCAATATTTGTATTCAGCAACGCGGGCCTGGAAAAGCATCTGGATGTGGGATTGACTCTGGAGGCTCTGCTCCCACATCCAACCACCTCCCGCTCCCTTCTCACCTTCCACACAGATAAAATTAATCTCTCCTAAATAAAATAAGCAGGAAATTTGATATTTTCCCATAAAAAGAACATTTTTAGGAATACTAGGACTGCTAAAAAAGAAATTTTTTCTGTGGTGTCTTATTTAAACATTCCCGGTTGGAAAGAGCGAGTTCCCAGCTATCTCCATATGATTTCTTCTCTTTAATATTTAACTAATATTTATTTTAAATTTAATTTTGAAATTATGCTCTTATTTGCATTGGGAGCCAAGGCTTGGGAGGGGACTCCCACTTCCCATGGGACAGCTGGAGTCTGGATGGGCTTTTTCTGCATCCATCCCTTGCAGCAATGCCAGTGTCTTCCCTCCAAGCTGGATAATTATCCCTCTTCTCCTGATAATTATCATCATTAATCTAGGATAATAAACTCTCCCAGTTGCGCTGCTCCTCCAAAAGAAAGGCGGGATTGGGTTTTTCCCTTGAAATCAGGAAATTGGGAGACAGAGGCTCCTGAAGAGCTGCCCTTCAGGAGGATTCTTGGAGACAAAAGGCAACTTGTCAGATTTATTGAGGCCATTCCCTGATAAGAGATGGAAATTATGGATGAATCAGTGCCTGGAAGTACTTCAGGAAGAGGTGGGAGATGGGATTGAGGCGGGAAGAGGGAAGGGTGGAGCAGCATAGGAAAGCTCCATTGCTACTGTGCTGCCTCTCGCTGGGTTTATTTCCAATTTTTCCTGTAGAATCCATCTTTGTAAGGTCAAGAGCTCTGCTGGGTTGAAAGCATTCCCAGGAGCTTCTGTTCCAACAAGCAGGACAAACCACAGGAAGATGGATGAGGATGAGGATGAGGATGAGGATGATTCACATTCCTGAAGTTGGGAATTAAGCTGAGTATTCCCACAAAATTCTCCAGGAAGAGCCAACAGCACACCCCGGGTCACATCCAGCATCAATTTGGGAACACGCACCAGGATCCCGCTCCCAAGCTCCCACAAATTCCATACATTGGGAAAAGCTACTTGAAGGATTCGGATGAAGACCACCGAAATTCCCTCTTTTTCCCCACGCACAGAGCCTCAGCTCTAGAACAGGTGCCGGTATTCCACCGGGAATTCCTACAATTACACCGGCCAATATTGACTCAACTATTTGAGGAACTCTTCAACCGAGTCCCTCCTAATTAGATTCCACATTAAATGGGGCTGCTTAATTCCAGGAAAGATTTTCCAAGGCCTTAGCAAGACTAACAAAGGAAAAGCCAGGAGTGTGCAAAAATATTGTCTCTTTAATATCCCAAGAATATCCACCCTTTTAACTCTGGAAAGATATCCTTCAATCCAAGGGGCAGGCAACTTGGCTTCATCCACAAGACAGTCAGAATATATCCCTTTTTCTGGAATTTTCACTCCCTGTTTTAACATTCCTTCCTGCTCCGTAATTATCTGATGTCGATGAAGGGAAGGAGCTGCTGGAATAAAATAAAACCAGGGAAAAGCCCAATGGGTATAAAGCCCCATTATTAGGAATGGAGCACGGGCAGTTATCCTGATGGGAATTAATAACTTCCCAGGAAAGCATTCCTAATGATCCCTGGGGCCAATGCCAGCATGAGGTGGGGATCCTGGGAGGGTGGGATTGGGATCACAGCGGGAATGGGCAAAACCCCCTTGGAAGAGCCCAGCAGCCTCTGGAAAAGCTTCAGAGCAAAATCAACAGAGGGCATCTGCCGGCTGTTTGCCGTGGGCCACGTGATGCCCATTCCCGGCTTTCCAGCAGCACGTTTTGCCAGATAAACAAGATGTGCAGGCATCTGGGATGACGGCCGGAGGAGCTGGCTGGCTGCGGAAAACCAGGAGTTAGCGGATTCATCCCCAGCTCCCATGGCACAGGGAGAAGGATGAGAGGAGGGAGATGCCCAGGTCGAGAAAGAAAGGAAAGAAAGCCTTCCTCACATCCCAGGAAAATCCTGCCATGGATATTTTCTCCCAGCAGGCAGGGGAATTTTCACCTGACTGAAATGTCCAGGGTTTGGGTTCATCCTGGGAAATATTTTTTATGTTTAATGATCAGTTGCTGAAAACTGAAATGTCCTTGGGTTCCCAAGAAGAAAACAAACAGGAAGAAAATGGAACCTGGAGCCTCCTCCCAAAACCCAGGGCTTTAATAGCTCCCTGTTATTTCCTAACAAAACCCCCGTGCTGCTGGAGAGCTTCCAGCCTGGCTGAGGTGCTTTGATTCCCACTGGAAATTTGCTGCTCAGGGCAGGGGGATGAATGACCCCAAGGACGGTCCAGCACATCATCCAAGGAGTGAAATTAAGGGACCCAATTCCCAAATTCCTTACACAACCTGTAAAAACAGAGATGTGTCCAGTCCAACCAGTCCCAGCCATTCACAATTGACGAGATTTGGAATGGGTGCAAGAGCAGGGCGACAGGAGCATGTCCCAGCTTTCTCAGCGCTCCGGGAGGCTGCTTTTCCATGGAGATCCATCGGAGACAGCCTCTCCGAGGATTCTGATGGACATTTATAGCCCTCTGAGTCATTCCCGGCCTTGTTTAAACCAGTTAGACCTGGCCAAGACCTTGAAAATAGCTCCATTTATCCCAAGCGGCTCCACTCCTGCGTTCCGGGTATAAATAGCTGACAGAGCTGCTCCGAGCTCGTCAATGCAGGCACTGCTCATTCTATGTCACCCATCATGTCCCCTCCTGGCAGTCTGCTGCCAGGGTACCCCATTTTCCTGGGAATGAGGTGTCCCTGGCAGAGCTTGCAGCAAAACAGCCAGAGTGGAGATTTCTGCTTCCAAAAAAACCACGGGAGCTTGGGATCAGGCCCTGTCTGGGAGTCTGCGGTTCCATGACCACTAATAGCAGGCCAGGATCACCCCATAAATCTGTTCAGGGTCAGCACAATCCCGGTTCTGTGCCTTGGGATGAGGCACCAGCGGTGCCACGGTGACAGCAGGACACTTGGATCCCCCCCACCCTCAGCCCGGCCTGCCTGGATCACAGTGAGAATTTCAGAGCCACCCCATTCCAGCACCACCCTGCAGGTCACTGCCACCTGCAAGGATCTTTTCTTTCAGTTCCACTCTTTTCCAAGGAAAAAAATTCCATTGCAACTCAG